TGGAATTTTGAAACTCTTTACTTCAGAGTGTCTGATTAAGTCTGGATTAGGATTCTGTCTTTAATCTAGCATTCAACAAGTGTTTCAGCTTTGGTCTGAGACACCTTATAAAAACATCACCAAATAAATTCACATTGCATTGGAAGAAATCTCTTGGGGAACAACTGCTACACTCTCTACATTTCTAGATGACACTTACTCAGCAGCTACTGTTCATTTCCTTTTATATATGAACAAAGTGCAATTATTGCCAGAAAAAAAAAAAAAAAATCAATGTTGAAATTTAAGGTTGCAAGACTGTGCTAGCTGCTTTAAAACAGTCGTGATTGTACCATTACTCCAAAAAACAAACAGTCCTAAACTTAACTGTGGAGTATTCTGGGCCAATTTTAAAAAGAAATCCAAATATTAAGGTAGAAGTTATGTAGGTGTGAAAGAAGAAATATCCACCCCACATTGTGCAGATACTACACTTTAGCCGCACAGCTATGATTAATCATAATACTGTTCATCGTTCTAAATCAGACTCAGTGATTTTTATAGACATCTGTTTTCTTTCACATTTACCACATACATAGATGTAGTGTCACTATTACAGAGATTTGACTCATCCAAAAACATCACAAGTCAACCATTAAATCAGTGAGGAATATGCAGCCCATTAGAAGCCATGGAGAATATAAGATCCATTCGGCCTAGGGGAAAATTACTTAAGTTGCCAGGCCATCAAGCTCCTTGCACATTGCCTTGCTGGAGATGAGGTAGTGCTCAGCAAGCAAGCAAGCAGCCACAAAGCTCATGGAAGCTGGTGGACATGACAACTATCTTCTACTCAGCCTAAGCAAAGGAACAAAAAAATATTCCTTTTGTTTAGCAATAAATACAACAATAGAAGCTACAGGCTAAATCACGAATCAGCATGACAAGGCTGGAGGAGGAGCTGGGCCATGCAGCCTGAAGGATCTTCCCCAGAGTCAAATGCAGAAGTGGGAATTGGACTTTGCTTGTTAGAACAACCACTTCTTGTCAGAAGGAAAAAGCATGCAGGAGAGCAAGGAGACAGTCCAGAGATGGGTCCACAGAGGCTAGTGAAGACAGCAGTATGGGCCTCAAAGAAAAGCAGAGCGCTTTTTGGGCACAGTGCTGGCTGCTGGATGACTTGGAACTGAACAAAGAAACACTTGAGGGTGTTCAGAAAAATTTAAACTAATGGAATGTTATTTTAATTAAATAGCACTGTATCAAGGACATATCTGACCGTTACCACAATCTCCTCCCTGTGGCAGCAACCTGTGGGGTTCATGCAGTGGGTAAGTACTACAACTAAGGGGGAATAATCAAGAGGGTAAGACCAAAAAGGTCTTTCTTGCAAAGTCCACAACATCAGCAGGGCAGAGGTGCATCCCTCCAAATGACCTCTAGTGGGTTGGTTAAAGCACTGTCCAAGGAGCAGAGTTACACAGTTGTACCTTCTGTGACTGAAAACACAGTACAAAGAGGATATTTCAAACCCATGCAGGAGAGGGGAGTGCATGCTCAACACCCAACAGATATTGAAGCAGGCCTCGAGCATTTTAATGAAGGGAAAAAAAAAAAAAAAAAAAAGCCAAAAGATGAGTAGATGACACAGCTGTACAAGTTTCCAAACCACGATATTTAGAGACCAGCCTGCACTCAGGATTTCCCATCAGCCACCAGCACACAAACGAGTGCACCCAGCTGTTCTAATCTAGCAATCAGACTACAGCCAAGCCCTGCTGCAAGCAGGGATGTTACAGCCACCTTGGCCATCATGACAGGGTTGCACTGTGTGAGAGTCAATGATATACATGTAGCTAGTGGAACTGCTGGTCCAGTCTCCACACTGCCAGCAATTCTCTTCTGCCATAAGAGAGCGCATGGACTCCAAGGACCAGCCACCAAAGACACGGAGAATTCATGCTTGGCTACCCATGCCATCTTTCTCCTCCCCCTGAAACCTCTCCATATCATACTTTTTGACCCAAAACTGTTCTTACAGCTTAGAGCAGGAACAGACACCAAGTATAAGTCTCTGACTGGGACTGCTCGACTAAGTTAAAAACTGAATTTGAGGTGGGAAATCCACCTTCAAAATACCCTCCTCTCCAGAGACAGAATGGAGTTATTACTGGTTCTTAACTGCACTTAGCAAGAGTCAGATACCAGTGTAAATCCCACTTTGGGGCATCATATGCCCCACATCTTTCTGTGAGCCTAGCTTTTATTTTTCAATTGGTGCTTGATGCAACTGAATGACTCTCAGTGACTTCACTAGGTTTAGATCAGACATTTAACAGAAATTTCAAAATGGAGAATGAGTGACTAATGATTGTAGAATTTATCAAATAATTTTATGAGGGAATGCACATCTGCAGCCTGCTGCATACCAAAATGGACAACTGAGGTGCTTCAAAGTATCAAAGTAACTTCCAGCTCCAAACCACTATTTTATCTCTGAATTTAGCTCTCTTGACCCACATTACAGAAAGCAAGCTTAAATTCCTTTTCTTTACCTTCTCCTACTGATTTTTCTCTGAATTTCTCTAGTGCACATCCTATGCTATGATATTTCTCTCTTCCCAGTAAGTGCAGAAAGCTGGATACCTAATTTTAAGTTATCTGTGTGATGTTTTAGTACCATAAGTTTCTTTCCAAATGAGTAAGGTTAATGTACTTATATTTGTACAAAAGTATTAATTTTTAAAAATACTTATTTGACATTTAAGCTGTGTGCAATTGTTGGCAGACTACTAATATAATATAAAGACTAGATTTGCAGAACACTGGTTCCTCCTGCAAATTTCATAAGAAATATCTCATATTGAGCATATTAAAATAACTCTGAACATCTTCTAAAAGCTTAGCTCTTGTGAAGGAAGGACAAAACAGATTGGAGTAACTAAAGAGCAAAGAGAAGGCGAGTAATTTGTGCTAAGACAGTCAGGAAATCATAAGCCTAGAAAGAGCATGCAGAAAACTGGCTGTGCTCTGCCACAACTACTGAACAATACTCCACTGCACAGCTTTTTAAATAGCTTTTAACATTTAGCCATTTTAAAACATGTAATTGTGCTGTAGATACTGATTTCCTCAGATCCAAGTACTTCTCAATATTTGGTCCATCTCTATTGTACACTCTTAAGACAGCTACAAAATATTGCTAATATTTTTGAGTTAATAGTGTGTTTAGAAGGTCATGTCAGGTTATTGCTGGGAGGATTAAAAGATTTTCTTTCCTCCAGAGCCCTTTGTTATAAGAAACCAAGGAAATTTAAAACAGGATTTATTCCTTCGAACCGGGACAAACCAACAGAGTACTGTGGCAAGAGCATAAAGTAAGAACACTCTGGGCCAGGAAATTTACAAAGAAAGCTTTCTCCAAACACAACAGTTAAGCTGAAGTTTTAGAACTCTTAATGGTTCTACATTAAGGGCAGCAAAAGGCAACTAGCTTTTTGCAGTCATTCACACTTATAATTCCTCTTTCAAAAGATATTGGTACAATATCTGGTAACTTGTTGGTTGTCACTAGCACAGGTAGACATTTCTGGCACATATATGCTCCATTTTGTGGTTTTCAACCTTTACTCAAGCCTTAATGGCTGCTCCCAATGTCAACATCAGGAAGATGAGCTAGTGATGAGCATCAGCAATGACTGCAAGGTGGCAGAAACAGGAAAACAGGAAAAACAGAGAAAAACAGAAACAGGAAAAACAGAGAAAAGAGAAAAATGGAAACCCAGTAAAGTTTGGTCTCAGACGTCAAACCAAATCTTCTGACAGATATAATAAATCTTCTCAGTGGATGTTACTAAAATACAAAGGATACTCAAGCCTTAGGTTCCTGCCTGTGGGAAGTTTTAAGTCGGGTCTGCATCTTTATGTAAGTGTTGCTATTGTGTTAGTCGACTATTTATATAGAATAAAGATGAGATCAGGGTGAATGGTATGTCAAGTCAAGCAGACGTGCCCTCTGACTTAGTTTAAAATTGGAATGGAACAGCCTTATGAAGTGATTGTGGATGCCCTAAAATTCATTGCTTGTAATGCAATTTGTTTGGAATACATCAAAACCAGCAAATCCTACCCCTATGAAGGTATTAAATATCATGGTGCTTTCTGTCCTTAATCTTTCAGACTGATCCCTTGAATACACACAGTTTAGACTTTGCTTTCTGCATGCACCCAGTCATGGAAAAACATATCTACTTAGATTTTAAAGGTCATTAAGGTGACCTTAGCATTAATTTCTAAATGTTACATCAAAATGGCTTTTTGTGCAACTGAAAGCAACAGCATTGATCACGTGCTTACATTCTGCTGGAGCTGGGCCTATAAATATTCCGACTATTTCCAAATGAATGCCGAAAAAGAACTGATGCAACAGCACCAACAGAAATATTTATATGCATTTTAAAAAGATTTCACCAACAGGTGGCTTTCATCTACTACACAATATTGCTAGCTTAGCTACTGCAGCATTGTCAGCAGATGTTTTTAGGCATCATCAATAGGATTACTCTAGAATTTACTCATCATAAATCAGCATACTGCAATGTCCTTTCTGATGGGTAGTTAATATATCCTGCTTCCACCAGACCATCCATATAATAGTTCACGTGAGGATGACTGAGCTCACTTCTATTTGGAATGACAGCTTGATGCAGCATTTCAAGGCTTAGCCTAACTTGCCCTCACTTGAGGTCAGGCAGTAACCATTCCCAGAAAACATGTTTGTTAGATGTGACTGAAAACAGTTTAGCACTTGCATTAAAGTAATAATTAAACATGAACAGTGTGCCTTGATGTTGTTTAAATGAATGACACATTCCATGCCCAGAGGAGTTTTCAGCTCAGTTCTGTGACAGGCAAAACATAATAATTGATCCAAGAAGAAATTTATGAAAAGAGTACCAAGAGGTTAAGTAGGCTATCATTCTGTTTGAACCATATTTTATGGTGTTACTCATAAAATATACCTCGTCAAAGAAGGTGGAGCTCAGTCTAATCCAACACGCCTCCACTAAAACAGCTGGCAAAAAAATGTCAGATGGTCTTGTTAGCAGCTTCCTCTTGAGAGCTGTTATATAATCACAAGGGCTGTGAACAAGAAAGAGAAAAGGAAATGGAAAATAACTAAGTGTAAATTTAAAGGAAAAAAATATTTATATACTTCTACCTATGTACTTCTAACCTGGACAGAAAAAGGAAACCTGACTTTCCCCTCAGTTATATAAACCCTAATTTAAAATAGCTTTTCACAGCAGATATTTTTTTCACAGTTTATATCAGCTCGACATTTCCCAGAAACTTAGAGCAATTGATATTGTTGACATCTCTACCCAGAAGTTTCTCTTCTCACTCTAAATCATAATGCTGAGTGGAGAACCCTAAGCCAAGTGACTCTGGACACCCTCCCATCCCAACACCATGGTCCACCGCCACACACACACACGAAATCTGGGAAGAAAGTGAGCACTTAGAGAAATCTAACTTTTATCTAACATTTACTTGAGTGCCTAGGAGGAATTGTCTTCTTTTCTATAGAAGCTGGAAGCAGCTGTAAAGATGGTGCAGGAAGGGGCACATTAGGATGTCCAATTAGGAAACCAAAGTGCACTTTGCATTTTGTGGCTCTTAAAATGTGGAGGAGAAAGGAGGAGATGGAGCTGGTCACCCGTGTTCACTGACCAGGTCCCAGTGCCTCATTGTATGGGTTCAACCAAAGGGAGGTGGCTGAGGTTCAGCAGATGCAAACAGCCAGGACAGATCCCACTGAGTGCCCACTACCAGGTATACTCAGAACTAGCTTCCTCACTCTTAACAGTGCTTCCAGATGAGGTTCCTCATTAAGCACAGAGCCTAAGCATTTAATTCAGAAGTGAAGGCTGTGCTAGAAGGGCTACATTCAGCACCATAAAATATAATTATTTTGCATCTAAGCTAGATTTGAAAAGGCACATGGCCAATTGGCAGCTCTGCCTTTTACCTGGCCTGGAGCTAGGGGCCTGTGCAATGCAAAGAGAGAACATTTCTGGTGGACAAGAGGTGGATCAGCTTCAGACAGCTGATGAGGTTACTGTGCCTGAGTGCCCCCCTCACCCTCCCTGCACTGATATTTGAGCTGTTTGTAAACCAGCTGCTGAACCACTGGAGTTATTTAGCACTTCACGGGTGGGGTAAACAGCTAGAGGTGATAACCACATTAGCTGTCTCAAGCTGGCAGCAACACATAAATCAATCAGAGGCCTCAGGCACACTGAAATGGGATGCGCAGACAGCAGCAGACTAAGCAGAAGGCTGTTTAAGCTAGTCAGTGGGAAACACAGAGACAAGTGCAATATAAGATCACACATACAAAGACACTTAACTGTCTCAGCTTTGGTTCCATGCCCTTCCTCCACCAAGAGATTTTAGTCTAGCAGCAAGTCAGGCCCCCACACTACCATAAGGGGTTTCCACTGGTCTGCCAACCTCCCATACAAATACATCTTTTTTCCTTAAACAAACAAACAAACAAACTATTCCAGTATTCCAAATTCAAGATGCCTATTTGTCTCAACTGAGAAACTGAGAGAGACCTAGCTCTCCTTACTCTGTGGTAAATGTTCTAAAACACATTTTCTATAGATCATTCTTCTTCTTGCCCAAAACACATTTTCTATAGATCATTCTTCTTCTTGCCTTCTGAATACTGATAAGGAAAATAAAACAGGAGCAATCATAGAAGGGTGCCAAACACAAAATCCCCAACCCCGGCTAGTGTTTCAGCATCCTCCTGCATAAAAGATTTTTTAATCCACCAAAACAGGCAAAAGTTCTGAACCCAAATCTCCTGTCAGAAAGGTAAGAACCTTAATGAATGGTTCATTCAATATCAGAAAACGGGTCTTTTTTCTCATAAAATTTTGCATAACATGAGATATTTTCTGCACACACTTTTTGCAATAACCATAAGTGTGACAGGAAAGAAGGGGGGTGAGAACACCTTTCTATCAGTTTTAAGCGGTGGGCTACAGATCCAGGGCTTATCGCGGTCAGGACTCAGGCAGGTGACACAAACTCAAAAAACAGACCAATGGGTCCCATAGGAATTTCACTAGCAGAAACTGACCTGGAGGGAATTAGCACAGGGGGAGAGAAGGTAGGTGGAAGGAATACCAGTGACACCTAGAGACATCCTTAAGCACTAAAGAGGCATTTAAACATAACTTCTCCTATCCATCTAGCACACTAGCTCTGGTAGTTCAATTGCTTGTATGGAGAATTTTGCTAAGCTGCCAGAAAGCTGTGTATCTATAGAAACAGGTGGAGAACTTCAGCCACCACCTTTTCTGCACTGAGTGCTTAGTTTCTTGGAATAATTGCAGCAGCTGCAATGGGCAAAGAAGCAAAAGTATCATGACTGATCATACATTCTTTTCATACAGTTGTAGAGCACTTCCCCTCTTCATTATGCTCAGCACTGGCAGGTAATGTAACTTCCCTCTAGAACCGTGTGCACTGTGTATACTGGTTGAGTCCAATGTTAACCTACAGATTCATTCTAAGTAAAAACACATTAAAGAGGAGTGTACTTAAAAATAGAGCTATAATCATGTACTGTACTCAGTGTGCTTAAATAGTGCACGTAATATAGTTCAGTGCAATAACCACTCGGTACTCAGGTTTCTAACACGAAGGAAGATATAGAATGGAATTACATTTCAGCCTGGAACTAATTCTGGAGTACTGCCAGTCCCATGCGATCTATAAAAATTCCTGTGTCAAAATGATGTGTCCCGTTGTCTTGATGCCTTGATCAAGGTTTCTGAGTTTTTCGTTTCTCTGATATCTTCCATATTTACAAACTTGCACTGAACATATGTTAATCGAGCTGCATCTCAGGTATCTACTCATTTGCAATTTTTTCATAAGCAAATGCCATCCTTGTGTAGCTAGTGGTCTTCTGTATAAGTTGAAGTTCTCTGAAAGAGTAGTGAAAATGCAAACATTATTGCAAAAATTCCCCTTTTGCTTGCAACCCCTTTACCATCATCTGATACCATCTTACCAAATTACATCAATTACATGCAATTCACTGATGAATGGAATGCAATAAAGTAAAAGGAATATGTAGCCTCTTTTTAATAATCCTAAAGTTCTCAACAACCATAAAGGTCTTCAGAAATTAAATTAGCATCCCCTTGTTTTATACTTAAGCTTCTGGGTTTTCACTCATTTTTCCCATATGAACTGAACTAAAGTAATTGATTTCTGGTGTTATTCAAGAATATTTTTTTAATTTATTTTTCAGTTTCCTTCAGTTATTTGTATGGGATAATCAAAATGACAGTATGCCAGAGGGTATGGAATAATCATAGCATTCATAAGTGCCCTGTATTTTTACAAAGTCTCACAAGATCTTCTGAAAAGGCACTGAAAGAATGAGAAAAACTAATCTACACTATAACGTAGTAAACCTTCTTAAGTTTATTAAGTAACCTCTGTGCTTCTGGTGGAATATGGCTCCTACTTCCTTCAGGTGTAAGCTCTAGCCAGCAGATGGTAGGTGCTCTTGGTTAGAAAAGCAGCAAAGTGCACCTGACAAAGGAGGAATCTTAGGAGAGGATGTGCGCAATGGCATATCTGTTTTCCCCTGACTGGTGCACCAGCCAGTGGAGGATTTGATCCAGGAAGATAGGAATGCATGGTTAGAGACCTCCAGTTGTTAGAGACTGAATACAAATGAGGGATATGATTTCTGAAGCCAAATTCCTATTAAAAACAATAGAAATTTGGGTGTACAAATCCCTTAGTCTCTGTCCAGCCAAAGCAATTCCTCTCCCCCCGGCCTCTAGCTGCTACCCATTGGTTAGCACTGCTGGTACAATTTTTTAGAAGGATTTGTAGCACAAAGAGAGAGACTTATTAAAAACAGAAAAGAATGTGTTGTGCCTCTGTAGCCAGAATCATAGTTTAAAAATCTGTGGGCCGGATTTTCCTGAATGCTCAAAGATACAAAACAGTTATAAACCCATATAAACCACTTAAGCCCAAGTATATGGCTGTTTTTCATCTCCAGTGATTCACAGAAGGTATGTTTACTACTGCAACTGGCACAGCAAACTTCCAGAAGAGACAAATAAAATCATGTTTTCTTTTTTTTTAAAAAAAAAAAACACTGTTTTCCATTATTTATCGGTTCAGAGTCTATGATTCACTTTAGGATAACTTAATCTTATATGGGGCTATAAAAATGAAATATTTTCACATTATTTTATGATGATTCTCTTTTGCTATAAATAGGCACAGAACTAGCAGGCCAGCACTCTCAAAATCCCTCTTGTGTTTTCCCATTTCACTCTATAGCTAGATTGACTAAAATACAAGGAGGATAGTTACCTTCTTTTGAGCTAAAAAGGTGAAATTCTTGTCTCTGTTCAAGCTGAATTTCACCCCAGGAGGACCAGCAGCTCAGTGTATGTTTGTGACCAGATCCTGAACTATTTGTACAACCAGCTCTTCTATTAGTTTCTATTTAAGTAATGTGACTTCAGTTAGATATTTGTGCATTTGCCAGGAATGAAGGGGGGAAAATAAAGCAGTCTTTTAAAAACTTTCTCATAGTGTTTGGAGGACAAATCAGCTGATGAGTATGTTTATTGCCATTAAATAATTTGGGAAGCAAAGAGGGAATATTTCAGTATTGGGAAACCTGCTACTGAATAGATCAGACTGTAGGTAAATTGCTGTGTTCCTTTCTTTTTCTTTTTCTTTTATTTTTTTTTTCTTTATTTGTTTTGTTTTGTTTGTCTGCTTGGTTGATGACTACCAAGGCAAGATTATTTTTTTTTCTGTTAAAATTCTTTCTGAGATGAACAGAGACATCCATTGTCAACCCAGCTTCCTAGGGTGTTAGCTGCCTGCCAGCCAGGAGCACAAATCCATGAGATAACAGACATACTGCCAAGCTTCAGCTAGCAATCCAGCCATTGCCCAATGTTGTTCATGAGCACTAATAAAACAGCCAGGTGTGATTCAGACCAAACCGACCAGAAGTGACTACTGGCTCTAGGGAAGGGCTAAGTGAACCTAGGACACAAGTCAATTTCTGGCCA